TTTTTTTCATCTGGCATCAACGCGAAAAGGACCCTTACTGGATTGGGCTCGGGTTGATTTTTCGCATTGTTCCGTTGTGGAGAAGACAGCTTTCTGCCCTTTCCTTTGCGTATCAGTTCTACTCTTGTATCCGAATGAGTTCCAGACGTCGTGCCATTCATGTCTATCTAGCTCTACAGTCCAGGACCGTATCACCGATATCGCAAGATATCTTAGCTCAACGGTGGCGGTATAAAATAGGGTGCACGCTGATTGACCTTGGTTTAAAAAGGGTTAATGTTGGCTAACATCTGAGACTAAACGAGAGCTGGAGACCGTCGGATTTTGGTGTTACATATCAGAAATCGAACGGTGTGGTGGTGGTTTTGAGTTTTTAAGAAGACTACGATCTTGCCTCTCTTCGAAATCGTCTTGTTTGACTCATATCAACTGACTCCATGGTGGTATCAGCTGAGCAGCGAAGGGTATCATACTTATCGTACAGCCCTTACATTGCTTCATAAACCCCTCCATGCCCTGTAAAACTATGTCTGGGAGGAAACTTACGTACCACCTCAGAAACGACCTCTCCATCTACTACACTCGCAAATCACTCTTATTAAAAGTAGGGCATTTAACTGTTGTATAGCTGGCGAATGCAGTATCATTGATCGTGATGACAACTGTATGGATAAGTATTTCTTTCGAAAATTAAATGTGATGGAACTGAATAGACATAAGCATTGAAATACGGAAAGAAAAGATGGTACAACCCAAATGACGTCGTGTCAGATAAAAATTCAATACAAATGTAACGTGCTACTCCGTACCTTCTCGTTGAATGTCATAATAATCTCGAAATGCTGCTTAAGATCGGTCGCCAGAATGTACTCCAACACGAGATATCTGAAAATGAATAAATAATACGTTGTTATTAAGGAAAGTTCAGTCATGTAGATATACAAGTAACTGCCAAGTTGTAGCTGTGGTGAAATATCTGGCAAACCAATATTACACTCAGCAGTTTCTATGCAGGAATGGCAACCGCTGGCAATGACACCGCTCATATTTTTTTGCCGAATTGTATATAGTCATGGATGGTCCGGTTTCGATTTCTAGGACTACGAGGACGTGATCAAGAAGGAGCCATTCAAAGCTAATGCAACGGCAGAAGATGCCGTAGATGGAAAATAATGGATACAACCGACAAGAACGGTGGGCCCAGCGGGGGATCAACGACGGGGAAGCGGCGCAGAGAAAGGTTTCGTGGAGATTTCGCTCACAAGAAATTCAATTGAAAGCGTATCAATTCACTCTACATCAAAGTAGTACGGTAACAACTAGACGAGCTCCGCCACAACTAGATTAAAAAGAGTCAAACACGTATCCCAACTCACTAATCCCTGACTTTGCCATGAATTTGAAAAGATTTGGGTTCAGAAAGAGAAGAAAAAGCGGTTGTGGTGCAGTAGGATCGATATTGTCGCGTCGCGGCGTCGCGCGCAAAGGAATGTAGCAGAATGCAGCAGCAAGTAAGAAAAGGTTCGTTGAGAGCAGTACAAGGCTTTATAACTTTCAGGCAGAACTAGATTTTACTTAACTGATTGCTGTGGGAGGTTTCAGCCCATCAGCGCGACATACTCTATACTTTCAAACTGCCAAAAAGTCTTCTATCTCCTCCAGGAAGGTTTGTTGGGTTTCCTTTCTTTACCACAGAATTAGTACTATTTCCACAAAGTTAATTGAAACTTTTGTTCCTTTATCATTCCTCTTTCTCTTCCCCTCTTGAAAATTTGATAGATTTTTAGAACGCCATTCCGTGCAACAACCAACTCAGCATCATGAATTAAATTTCTGAATTTCTTGGTACAGGTCGCTGGTGTTCTAATTACAAACGTGATAGGTAGCGTAAGCATGAGAAGTGCATGGAACCTCTCAAAAGGATCCGCCCGAATCGGAAGGACTCCCCTCCATGATGAAATCATTAAACCCAATTGAGAGTCGTTTTTCCTAGTTAGATGAATCCTTTTATGCTTTCAAATGTCCCTGAATCCAAAATAATAGCTTCACGCTTTCTGGTGGTCAGTGGGGGAGGGGGTAGGGGATGGGGAGGGGTGAGAAGCTGCAAACGAAGATAAGTACATCAGGGATGAAGGCAGCTGACATCATCGTTTTATACCCAGGGGGGAACGACGTCAACTCGTGGGATGGCTTCAACTAAAAAAACTTAATACTCTTCTGCAAAGTAAGAAGTACGAATCAAGATGTATCGATAAACAAGCACGATCTTCAGGACAGAATGTAGTTTGTATGTTATGAGTGCTGTCGGTATTTGGCCGGAAAGCCATAGCTTCGCTTTATCTGGAGCCAGACTGTTCAAACTCAAAACCGATACTGGCGATAAGGTTAGGGCGTAGTGGGGAAGCTGGTAATAACTGGTAAGCCCTTCGTATTGACATTGAATTTCGATATGTTATGTGGAGCGCGACGAGATCGTACATGCTCTGCGCGGCAGGAGGTGATAACAAGTGATAGGGGCTGTCAGAAGAATTTATTGTTGGAATGCAAAAATTCGTGGTGGAACCTACATCCTTCGACGTATTACATGGGATGTGACGGATCGTAAGTGAGGTTTGATAATAACTGATAAAGGATGATAAGAGTTGTTAGAATGGAAGTATCACTGAAGTTAAGCGACTTTGCTAAGTTATTAAGGCGTTCACATCCATATTCAGGGGAGGATTCAAGTGGGTGTAGCAAGTGGAGGGGGAGATCAGTCTTGACAAAAAGTTCCCAAGAGGGATCATCACCCAACTTGTTGAACCGCTCTTTCTTAAAATCAAATTCCTGCACCAAACAGTACCGAATGGGTGGACCTTCAAAAAGGATGAGCTGCGCCGATTTCAAAAACGAGAATTAGCCCCTTCACAATTATCTCTAACATCCCTTACTACGAGTACTTTCTCATCAGAGAGGTGTTTCCAGATTCTCCGAACCTTAGAAAAGATGGAAATTTAGAAAAGACGGTAAAATGTCAAGATATTCTGTTAAAAAGTGACATTTCCACCATCTGCTTACTCATGAGAACGCCCTTTATGAATGGCGCAAAATGATGAGATCTCATTTCTGCCAAGAAAGTCCTTTCTAACAATCTGGATACATAGTTCGCCTGAATAGAAGGCTCAAAATTTGCCGATCAGAAATCTTCATTCATACTGAGAGGAAGAATATTGTGAATTAGGTACATAGTCCAATTTTACTACAGAAAAGGGGCGAGCTTGGTTTCAGAGGCTACTGGCTTTATGCCACTTAAAACTTGTAGAAATGTTTCAAAATAAAATTTTGCATCGTCAAAATCCTTTCGGTTTTCAACCCTGCTCACCTGAATCGCTTAGTTTCAGCTGGGTCGAGCGTTTCGATGAAATTATTCTCGGCCAATTGCAGTAATCGCCAGCTTTCTGCAGCATGATGGTTCTCCAGCACGGATCGATCATTATAGAGAATCGCCTGTACAGAACCACTTGCGATCTGCCCTCTTTCCTGCTCAAAGGTGGATTTTAACGCACCTTCTTGTCTTCAGCCGCGACCAAGAAGGCGTTCGTCCGACCCGGATGATCGTAATCGTGCATTGCGGCCGCCGTATACAATGCCATTAACTGAAAAAGATAACTGCCTTACCAGTTATCGATTCCATTGATTTAAGCTTGTGAATTATTCTTTGGGACAGTCGGACAGTTGTGAGGCCTTCACAAATAGTGAAAGTAGGGAGTGGATGAGTATATGACGAGAAAAAATGACATGTAAAGAGCATTTGGAAGAGCTGTCAAATATTTGCCACTGCGTAAAGCTAGCTATAATAGCCAATAATGTAGGAATTTGTCTTTCACTGTCCACTCATAGGTCACAACTAATTACTTAAATTTTCATTAAAAGTTGATACAAAGTGAACAATGCAGCCTCAGCATCTGGTTTCCAGAACTCGGCCAACGATGGGTGTGGCGTACACAGATCACAATCTTCGACCTCATTTTAGGCCTTATCTAATTATAAGTCATTCTCGATCTGACAGCGCCACATGGCATGCTTGTCAGCCAAGGACCCTCTGGCTCACAAGCATGCCATGTTTCGCTGTCAGATCGAGAATGGCGGAGACCCATCCCAGGACGCATTTCAGGGACCATTTTTTGTCTCTCGCCGTTTTATCTCGCACTATAACGCCTGCATGCTACTGAGAGGTAGAAGTATAGGTTAACTAGTAGGGGTCCTTGCCATTTCAAAGGTCCAACTGGGACCTAAACAAATGTGCCAATCAAGGACCAAAAACTATATGGGTTAAAAAACGCAAACTACTTCCCTTTGACGTCATCAGACTCCCTTTTTCTGCCTCTCTGACGCTAAAGACCAGAGCGCAGAAAAAGGGGGTGCTGGCTTAGCGGGCCCTAAATCTGCTTGGCAACGATTCTAAATTGGCAAACCCAAATATTCTGCCACAGCTCAAGAAGGGGGCGTGGGGAAGGGTGCACGGGAGTGGGCAAGCACGGGAAAGATGAAATGCTGAACTCGGGCAAAAGGTTCTATTGACCCTTGGCATTGTGAACGAGAATGGGAGAGACTGGCGCTATGAATTTACCTTTTGGAGGATGTGCTCATTTCGAAAAAGCATGGTGGGATGCAGAAAAAAAAGTGGGCCAAGCAGAGAGATAAAGCTCCTTGCTTTGCTGAACAGGCTTCAGCCTCCTGCAGCCTTCTCCCCCTCCCTCCCCATACTCCTCGCTGTTTCTCGTGGAAGTAACTTTCTGGAATGTGGAATTGGAAGTAGTGAAAGTGAGGTTGTCAACGCCTAAACACCCTGACAGAGGGATCGACGGGAATTTCGGGCTGTGTACTCACGTCAACGCCCAAGGTTTGGATGGCACCAACTCTTCGAGGTGTGACATCCCGAACCCGGACCAAATTGCTGGTGAACTATGTTGCCTCATTTACCCTTTCGCAGCTCGGAGGATATAATGCTGATACATTATCAGGAATTGTTAGAAAGAATTTAAAATACATTCTTCTCTTGAGAAAGGGCGAAAATGCATGAGATGTAGATTATTGCTTTTTATAGTTAACTAAAGAGCAATAAAATTTATGCAAATCAATTGGAAATCTCACCTCCAGTGTGCTCATACTAGCCGAGATCGGAGCAGCCATTGGAGGTGGTGGGGGCAGGAGAGAATCAGGAGAGGTGGTAGGTCCAATAAGTGGACGAACAGGATGGCAGGTGAGGTAGTAACAGCCGTGCAGCACGTCTGCGGCATGAACTCGGTTATGGTCTGCAAATGGGGTACATGAGCCTCGAAGATCACAATTAAGCCGGAATCACTTCAAACTCACAGGGTATGTCCCAGTAGCCTCGTTCCAAAGCGTGAAAAAAATTGAAAAATTTAATTGGCGACAGTTTGAATATCCGAAACAGGTCCGCTTGCTTGAAAACCGTATATGTGAGCTGAAAATATTTACGTTGCGTATTTTGAGACTAGCTAGCAGCCTTGGATGGCCCACGTAAATACCAAAAATTTTAGAAACATCGATTTTGTACTCACCCGGCTGAGTACGGTCTTACTGTATTTTTCGGCGATTTCGAAGATGGGCAGTGACCAGTCAGCCACCATTGCCATCCCTCGGTCATTGTCAAGGTCTCTAGTGTCGAATTTCTGGCCATCAACCGTCGTCACTACAGTGTCGCACAACGAACCACTGAAACAAGTAAAGGAACCTTCGCATTTGAATGTGGGAGCGTTGATCAGTAAAAAAGGAACGTGAAGAATATTCTAAGTAGGGCTCTCACTCGAATAGTTTTACTTCTGAGATGATCTTCGGCTATACGTAATGAAATTCTCACGCATTTTTCATTCTATTCAAAATATTTTGAACACATGGCGTCACGCACGCATGGTCACGGGTTCGAATCCCGCATAGATATCCGCTCAGGCCAATCAAGCCTTGTGCCTCATTAACTGACGCGAGGCTCATCTGGGAGGATAAAAATACCCAATTGTACATCGGCTGACCACCATAAGTCATTGTGTAGACCGCCTACGCATTCAATGTACCACTACGGTTTGAAAGGAAGTCGAATATGAGGCACATCCCTTAGAAGGGCTTGATCAATGCCCAAAGACTTTATCTTTTGGATTTTTTGGCTAAACAATTCCATATATTTTAGCCTCTTGGTGTTTCTCAACATTATTAGTATTCCAAAATTCAGTTGCAATTGGAACGAAAAGTATTTAACAGCAGAGTATGTTATATCAATCTTATTCATAAAATTCTACGCGTGTATGAATACGATAAGGCTGGAATGTTGGCATACAAATAATCAAGAGCTTAAAGGCACAGTTCACTTTAAATATGGTTTCTAAGATCCCCTTATATCATACTTGCCGTTATAAGTTCAAAAAACGTCGTGGATAGGGCACAATAAGGGGCCAGAGGTTGTTTCGTGTGAATGCCACACCCATTGTGGACGAGTTTCAACGGCTTTGTAGAGGGTGCACTATCTCAAGGGTCTCCCATGCAGGAAGTTCAACAATTTTAGTAACCAGTGGTGACAGTGAAAGACAGTTTCAGACAATTTCGGCTCGATGTATTCACTCCTTGAGCAATGTAAGTCAGTTAAATCTCGTCCAAACTTCCCTTATATGCTGTTACCGTCACTGTGATCTCGTACAACCTCCACTTCCACTACTTTTAGAAATCCTTGAAGTGGGCGGGTTTTCTCATTTTTTTTTGCCACCGATGTACCCCTCTACATCAACGCTTCAACTTTTCTACTAAGGAGGTACCTCAAGATTATTGGGAACTGTGCCTTTAAGCGACTCAGTCGTGTCCCTACAAGCTGAGGTATTGATTTCTTTAGCTCTGTTGTACGTAGGCTTATTATTAGGGCCCGTATTTATAGAAGGCCTATGGAGTAAGAAAGACCGAAGTGTAACTGTCCCGTTAATTAAGGTCACGGAAGTTTCGAGGTGCCTCTCATACAATGCTTTAATGTTTAAAGAAACAAGAAAGCGCCGAGCAAATGGTGAGCCATGTGTCAAGGGAATGTTACCAGGTACGTAGGGGTTCCGATCTGGTAAAAAAGAGGCAGTGGCTCAAAAGGGTTAGCGCTGTTCGAAACTAGGCAATCGTTAGTGCAGGAAGGGTTCACAGAACTTTCTAACCCCTTGTCCCTCCCCAGAAATGACGTTTCTTAGGAAGGTAATTGTAAGGGTGGGAAGGTGAGTGTTTATTCGATTGAAATGTAAACAATATCACAAAACAATGACAGAATTCTACTCCACATTGGTTCATCATATTCTCTATGAAAGCTGGATTCTTCCCCTTTTCAGTATCAAAAATAAGGGTTGGGTTGAATACGATCACACAGGGCTTGACTGAAGGGTAACGGCGAGACCAACGGTCTAATCCAATCAAACATGGGAACCATCAAAGCAAACGAGGTCCACTAACCATAAATGAGCGCTTTATCGATACTTTTACTATTTCGGTGATTTTTTGCCGCCTCAGAGTCCACTGAAATCACATGAAAGTTTTCTTAAGATAACCTACCGTTCCTTAGAAGCTGCTGTCTTTTTGGTAGTTGGACTCTCACCACCAGATGAAGTACCTGCAAACTGCCACTCTCGAAATAATACAAACAATAGCCAATAAAAAAGTTTTACTTGGAGTGCTTTGCTGGTGCGGAGAGTGAACATCCGTCGTTGGAGAGGATTCAGGCTTCCAGTAACTGCAAAAGCAAATTTTCTGGGATGCAACACTGTTAGGACCCTTCGTGATTGTCCTAGGGAAAAGGGAACATTACATGTCTTTCTCGAAGGGAGGCCTTTTTCGCTTTTGCTCTGTGAAGCGTGAAGTAGCTGGCTAACGATTGACGCTCTCACTTTTTATAAATAAATCCCGCGTTACCACGTTATTCAAGCGGATTGCACTTTCCATCGCATTGTTCAGTTGATGGCCGAGTGGGGCATTTGCTCATGTGCTAGAGACGAAAATCGAGCCCCGTAGCAGCAGCAGCATTACCTTGCAAATGCCTCGATGGCGTTCGGAATGCGAGTGAGGTCTCGATGAGCGGCCCGAATTCGGCGACGGACGAACACACCGAACGGCTGGATCTCGGTCGCTCCGCCCTTGTCCATTTAGGCCATCTTAGCCGGCTCACATCACGTTCGATCACTGTCAACTTGTGGTTCTCAGAACGGTAAGATGGCAACAAATAAAGCATGGTAACAAGAAGTAAAGCGTGATATCAGAAACAAAGCTGAGATTGATAACGAAGCGAGAGGAACTGACAATGGAAAAGGAGAAAGCAATTGGCATAGTATACAGACGGGCGGAATAAGGGCGGCCNGGATTGGGGTGGAGGAAAGATCTGGAGGGACCGCGACGAGGCTTCCTATTCGATTATCTCCGGCGGTCACACACATACACCCATGCACAAACATCCGTCTACCAACAAACTTACGCTTATGGCTTTTCATTATCTACGAGCCGATTCTAATTAATCATGGATGCTTCACTGGCAGTCATTCATTCATCATAACTGAGAATTGATGTCCCGCAGCAACGACTGACTATGTCACATCTGCCAATATTGGTTGTTAGTCCTTGTTGTTCTCGAGAACAACTAGTAAATGTAATGTTTATTACTATTCATTTATTTTTATTTACGCTTATGCCTCTGAAGACGACGATTACGTCGAAACGTTCCACCTAAAAACCTCGAACGGCATAAGAATTCCAACAACGCAAACGACAGTGCCGAGGTTGAAACAAGAGAGAAGTTGGAAATTAGTAAATGAATTTTTTTGTAATTGTCATCACCAACGGCTCCGGGAGCAGCCGAGTGCGTAGAGAAGGGCTTTTTTGTGATCTGTCTATAGAAGTGCTGAGCGGCCAAAACCAGTTCACAAGAGTTCAAAGAAATGTAAGACTTTACTTAGTACCGTTGGATTGCTACTTTAATTTACGATCGGTTCAAGTCAGATGAAAAAAGGAATTCTCCCGAGGTACTGCAACTGTAGGAAAGAATTGATCAGTCATGAAAAGGCCCAGTAACAGCTACTCTTCAAAGATAAGAATTTTAACCACTTACATTAGAAGAAAACTGTCCTAAGGGGACCTTACTAAAGACTCAAACACAGGAAGCAAGGGAAATCAGAAAGAGCAAACAAGAAGTCGATAATAAAGAATAATATGCATGTTGAAGGATTTTTTAAGGAAACTGCTTATTCAAAGAAATTATAAAATGGGTTTCAGGGAGGACATTCAAAAAGAAAGTGAGAAATCCAACGCATGATCATCAACAGGTACCCAAGCAATGGTATGACAACGGCAACGATTGGAAAGCCTTCTCACAGCTTAATTCTTGTACAGGAATCGTTTGAACTTGAAAAACAATTTCGAGGTGCGATTTAAAAATAAGCGAAGGACGAGGTACGTTTACATTTCAGATGAGAATCTCCGCTCGGACAAGAGCAATCAAGGATGCACCACATCGTAGTCAGTCAGCCAGCCAACGATGCCCTTTCGCTTGCACGGCCTACGGTAATTTGAAGGGCGTTTTAATGAGAAACAGCGCAACGGTGACTACATGTGACACTTAATAATATCGGATGAGGCAGATTGGAACCGCATAAGAAATTAGCTGGTAAGGACAGGGGAGTTCTGATGAGCCAGCATGGTTTGAACGAACTCGTCACTGCGGTAGAAGCTCTGGAAGATACGGGGACTTCATCATTCACTTGGGAAGGTGCCCAATGATTTGTTACTTTACTTTCAGTATCCATGGTTCCCCAAGTTACAACCCTCGGATCGCCTGGCGGTGCCAACAGAATCTTCCCAAGAGAAGCCTGACCACTGCTTGCCCGGATGAGAATCAGCGGGTAAGGACTGGAAAGGTATGACCATCATAGGAGATATCAGCTTCCATTTAATAAAACAGAATGATTCTAAGGCTAATTTTCTTAAATTTGTGCCGAATGACGTCATGTTCGGAGGGGAATCCTTGAAAAAGTGTTCTGAGAAGCGAAGCGTGTTGTCTCAAATAAGCTCTTTAGACTAATTCGATGTCAATAGTGATCCATTTAGTTGAATGAATGCAGCAGGAGAGGTGTGATAACAGCAATTACCAGGTGCTCATTACTGCAAGTCACTTTGAGTTACCGAGAACTGCTTAGGAAAGCCAAAATCGAACGCAAACGAGAACGCCTGAAATTCTTTCGTCAAAGTGTCGTAGGAGCTCTTCAAAGCTTGATATTTTCATGAGCTAAAATTTCGGCAAATCGAAAAACTTCGAAAAGCTGAGACATCAGGTCGCCTTTGTTTTGCAATGAGATTCAGTTTCAAAAATCATTTCCCACGAGTGCTAAGGTGAAGGCCAATGAAAAAAACAACCCAAAAAGAGATCGATGGCTTAATTTTTCTGAAAGAAATCATCTAAGTCATATATTCTTTGCGAGGTACACATCTCGTCCCGGAAATTTCCCTTGGTCTTTTGGACACATAAATTAGCTCTCACAAATGATGCTTGACAACGATAGCTGCTTGACCTGACCAATTAAATCTGTATTTGAAAGAACAGTTCACGATACAAATGGTCTCTTTCTATCTTAGAACGAACCTGCGACCAACAGTGATAGCATGATAGCACAAGCGACACTATCATGTGAAAAAACGGCCTATGTAGGGAGTAAAAATGGGGCGTAATAAGGGCTCGGCCTACGTACACCTTCGAAGCAGGAGAACCTCCCATGTTGTAGAGGCTAAGACGTCGTAACATTCGCACTGAGACGCACACGTCGCACGCACGCCACAGCTTGCTATAGCCATTGTACGCAATGCCACACACATTGGTACAGCTCGTCCAAACACGCCTTCC